AACCTGAGGGACATGTATTCAGGTAAAAAAATCAAAGGTAAAACGTAGAGCAAATCAAGCAACCGGTGCGGATTAAATGGGCTCTGTGCTTCTTGAACAGCACTGCTATTGGTTGCCTTTTCTCTCCCTCAGTAGTTTGTGTTGAATTGGTAGTCAGCAGTTACCATGCACAGGAGGATGCACTGGTCAAGCATCCTGCTCAGCCTATCAGGCTTTAAATTAAGAAAGCAAATGAAAATAAAGTAACTTTGTTAATTGCAGTTATGGCGAACAGAACAGCATTAAATCCTGTCATCTGCAGCATTTAGAGGATGACCATCCTCATTTTCCTTTGCATTTCATGGAAGACAGAAAAGGGAAATTTTCACCTAATAGGGTACTTGTTTCCTCTCCTGGGTGACAGTTGCTGTTCTCTGACAGCTTAAGAAAATTGCCAGCCAGGGTGTTTTACTTCCTGACATAGTAATTTTAAATTATTTTTTTTGCTGAGTGGTGGATAATCGATCACATAGGGAAGACTTTCTCTCCTTCAGTGATTTGATTAGATCAAATCTACTGTGCATATCAGGTAGGCAGAATTTATGGATCCCAGCCTAGGGATGGAGTAGATTTAGGCAGCACCTATGGCTGAAATAAGCCGTAAGGGTCACATTTGAAGAGGTAAGCACTCCTTCGGGATAGCTAACCTATGTGAAAGCAGCTGCCTTTCTTGCAGGCTTAGACACATTTTCAGAGCTGTGCTCTGCAGGGTCAAGTCTGGTCTGGGCCGAATGCTCGATGCTGGAGTTAGAATGGAAGATGGTTCTTGAAAATGTAACTGACAATTGTCAAATGCTAAGTGGATGTAGCATTCTTGTTTCCAATAAACACCCAAAGGGACATGTAAAATAAATTGTAATGATGAGAAGACTATACATATAGCACTCTTTGTGTTAATCGCTGTTGTCTTTGCAATAATACCTAATGCAGGTCGGCAGCTGGGTGTTTTAGATGGAATTCCTATTGCAGTAAAAGACAACTTTAATACAGCTGGCATTGAGACAACATGTGCGTCAAACATGCTAAAAGGTACAGTAGACCTTTTAAAGTAAAATCAGGTCTCATTTCAGAGCTCTTACTCTTCTCTTTAGAGGGATTATGGAGTGGAGTCATCCAGAAATGAAATATTTTTGAAAAATGAGCTGAAGTAATTTGAGAAGATATGTTTATCTAATTTCTGGTATTACAGATGTGTGTTTTTCATGTGTAAGCACATTATCTTCTTAATTTGTGTGTTGTTAAAAGCGCGTATCCATAATGTTTGTTGTAACCTATATACTAAAATATAATTGTTCTAGAGTTCACATTTTGCTTCGCGTTACTTTTAGGTCTACAGGAAAGCAGTCAGTACTGTTTGCTGCTGTTCTGTATAGCAAAATTCAAAGACTTTTTTTTATTTTAATTTTTATTCTACTGATAATTTTTGACTTAAGTAGTTTTTTGTATGGCTGTAGGAACTAACACTTCTTTTCTCTATATTGTTGATATACAGACATGTTCTATAAGGCTTTTAAAATTTTTTTAAAATTTCCTAGGTTCATTGTGTCTATTAACATACCATGAACATTTTCAAGTTGTTAGAATGTTTTCATAGTAAAAGCGAAGGTAGAAAACATTTCTTATATCTGTTTTGCTCTGCACAAAGTAAAACTGAAAAGTTTTGTAGAAGATACTCAAGTAAATTAGCAGAACCCAAAGTGGATTATGGGTTTTTTTAATGGCAGAAGAAACAAAATATGACTTTGCCATTTAAAAAAGTGTTATATTACCTGAGGTGCTTTTCCTTAAAGCATATTCTCAGACCCATTGTGATTTATTGCAAAATCATGACTGAGAGTATTTAGGAGTGCTGTTGTCCTTGTTATTTCCGTTGAGGATGGGGGTGAAGAAACCACTGTCGATATAAAGGGATTGGTTTGGGTTACTACATAGGATCTCATTTAAGTGTTGTGGGCCTCATCCTAGTTTATGTAAGGTCTGAGTGGTCAAGGGCACACATGTTTGATCACAGGATAGCCAGTTAATATTTCAGCTCATGGTTAACCATATGCTCCTTTATCTCATATGGTAATAGGAGATAATTCAAGATAGCTTAGCACTCATCTGTAAAGAGCTGTTTCTCATTTCTTCTAATTTTAGACAGTTCTTGCAAATTGGCTGAATGCAGTAATTTGCTACCCTTGTGGTAACTTGTTTGTGTGGAGTCTTAGCTCCATGCTCTAGAAATGCATAATCCAGAATTACTTGTTTGTAAGTTGTGGAGGAAAAAAAGGCGTTGCAAACAATATGGCATCTGGTTTACTTTTGGTAAATTTTGGAAATTAGTCATGTTATCTTGAAGCAAAATTTTGGCACTGTGAACTGGCAATTCTTATGCACAAATAATGACAACTTCAAAGTGTTCAGAGAAGCTCCTTCTAAAAATCAGCTGTATCTCACCAATCACTGTCTTAATTGTTCTGATTGTTTTCAGGTTATATTTCTCCTTACAATGCTACAGTAGTTCAGAAATTACTGGATCAAGGAGCTGTGCTTTTAGGAAAAACAAACCTAGATGAATTTGCCATGGGGTGAGTGATGTTTATTATTTTTAATGTGTGATTGCACAGTAAATAGAGTACACACCATCTGTTCCAATCTACCTGTAATCCTTAACTCCTCTTTTTGTGAAGTTAGAAAATAATGAATATTTACCCCTGAAGAGGGTGTATTTCTCCCTGAGCATTTATACTGTTGTGTAAGTGATAGAAATGCTGAGGTTTATGAACAGTGTTTGACTACAGCTGTGTTTGGTGGTACAGCCGTTGCAGAAGGCCAAGGACAAGTAGACTTCTTCCAGATCCAGTAGTGCGTTAGTAGAATTGGTTACAACACCAGTTAATTGCTGCCTTTTTCTCTCTCCTTACTGGGTGGTTTTTCCCCTTAGCTGATTATTATGATGTCCCTGGTGGCAGTCACTGCTTCTGTCAGTCAGCCACTGGAGTAAATCGTATGAGTACTCCCTGATTTGCTGCAAACAGGCTAATCTGGAGCAACAGTTTAAATTGTCCAAGCTAATGTTAGTGACTTTTTGTCAGGAGCATGTTGGAAAATTATTTTGCAGATTGATTCTCCAGCAAATAGGTGAAGGCAGCCAAGCTATAGCAGGGAACAGCACTGGGCCGTTAGGATCAGGAGTCTCTGTCACCACAGCTGCTGGGTCTGGATAGGAATGTCTGGGACCTCAGTTACCTATGAGAAACAATAAGTGTTGTGTTCTGGTTTTGTTTTTATTTTACCTAAACCAGAGACAGAGGTTTGATTGGGAATTCACATGGATGGAGTGGAAATACTTTGACTGTGTTGTTTGATAAAGTCATTTCTGTGTCAAAGAGACACTCTTCAGAAGAAGAGCAGGGAGAAAGCATGGAAAAAACCTGATTATGCAATGTTACAACTGGTCTAAGCTCATTAAAGCACAGGATTCTCTTAAAAAGGCTTGTCCCACCCATGGCCTCTCATCTGTGTGTTTGTGTGGTCTCTCATGCCAGTAGCAGCACGGCTGCACCATGAGCTTGATCAGGGAGCTGAGCCAGCTCAAAAGTAATGATGTCTCAATAAGGTTAGTTTTCAACTGCTGTGTCAACTGCCCACTCTGATGATTTGGCTAATGCCACTGGCACCCTGGAGCCAGGGGGAACATGTGGTGGAGGTTGCAAGGAAGGAGGAACTTGTGCCCTCCCCGTGGGCCCACTTGTGGTGGCAGCTTGCACTTAGGTGACCACAGGCTGACTGAAACCAGTTTCTGAGAAGACAGTCTAGGCTCTGAACAACCGAACTGTGGCGTCAGTCAAGGGCTACAGAGTAATAGTGTGTTATTTACAGAGAAGTGTTTGTTCCTGCTATTGCAGGGCTTTTTCAGCCCCTCTGGCAGCATGGTTTTCCACAAGACTGTGGTCATCTTCTTTAGCCTTTTCCAAATTCAGGGTTAGGAAACCAGAAGACATTTGTTTTGAAGCAGACGTGCAGCTTTACTGTTATGTAGTTTAAATCAGTTTTATGCTTTTGTGATTATGTTCTTTTCAGTTGTGTCAGCAGAAGTTAGAAGGAGGTACAAGTTCAGGTTCTGTGTCAGAAAGGGATGAAGATCTATTAACTTTACAGTTCTGTGTAACATTGTTGAAGTTGACTGCATGAGGATTTAGGTATGCCAGTCTTCTTGTGTTGAAATGGAATTTGCTAGGATGAAGGACAAGGAATTGGGTAAAGAAAAAAATCTTGGTGAATGTAGTGTCATCTGTCACTTCTGTCTGTGTTTGTTGTGTCTGACTATCTTAGATCTGGGAGTACGGATGGGGTATTTGGACCAGTCAGAAATCCCTGGAGTTATTCAAGACAATACAAGAAAAAATCTGTCCCAAAATCCCATTCTGAGGACGAAGAGTCTAACTGGGTAATAACGGGAGGGAGCTCAGGAGGCAGTGCGGCTGCTGTGTCATCTTTTACGTGTTTTGCGTAAGAGGCTTTTTAAAATTGTTTTTTATTAAGTGTCTCAAAATATATTGCAAGGTTTTAATATTATAGTTTTATCATGATCTAGTTTGAAATGGGAGGGTTATTTGCATTGGCAAGAATTTATTTCAGCATCCCTAGTTTATTTGTGGCATATCATGAAGCCAGAATGAATCACAGAATGTTAGAGATTGGAAGGGACCTCGAAAGATCATCTAGTCCAATCCCCCTGCCGGAGCAGGAACACCTAGATCAGATCACACAGGAACGCATCCAGGTGGGCTTTGAATGTCTCCAGAGAAGGAGACTCCACAACCTCTCTGGGCAGCCTGTTCCAGTGCTCTGTCACCCTCACCATGAAGAAGTTTTTTCTCATATTCAAGTGGAACCTCCTGTGTTCCAGCTTGAACCCATTGCCCCTTGTCCTATCACTGGGTGTCACAGAGAAGAGCCTGGCCCTTTACGTATTTATAAACATTGATTAGGTCACCCCTCAGTCTCCTCTTTTCCAAGCTAAAGAGACCCAGCTCCCTCAGCCTTTCCTCATAAAGGGAGATGCTCCATTCCCTTCATCATCTTTGTGGCTCTGCGCTGGACTCTCTCCAGCAGTTCCCTGTCCCTCTTGAACTGAGGGGCCCAGAACTGGACACAATATTCCAGATGCGGTCTCACCAGGGCAGAGTAGAGGGGAAGGAGAACCTCTCTGGAGGCAGGCATTTGCCATGTAGGCAAATTTAGGCTTATTCATTTTGAGTGGTATTCAGCATACTGGTATGACCGCTTTGCACTGCGTGAAATAAAATTATAATGGCAGTAATGGAACAACAGTTTTATTGTTATTTCCACCCGCTCTCTTAAAATTAACATGGGATTTGTGACACATCCTCTTCCTTAGTAAGTGCATTACAGAAATACATGCTGAAAATGTGATTCAGCAAATGAGGAGATCCCTTAATTTGTAACAGTATAATAATCTTTCTTCCCCTACGTTGTTTTTATAGCAGAGTTATGTAATAATACATGAGATTTGTGATCTAAAAGCCTTCAAATCCCTGACTTAACGAAAGGATACACGGATACTCACTACACAGATACTTACAAACCTGTCTGTTTTAAAAAGTTTTTTGGTGTTTGTTATTTTTTAAAAGGAATTTAAATAATCTGGAAATTTTTTTACAACAATTATTATCTTCATAGAATAGCAACACACTATTTAAGAAATCAGTTGTCTATACTGTCTGCCCCATCCAACTGTTAAAAGACATGTGATCGTTAAAACTTTACACCTTTTGTTTTGTACAGTTTTTAGAGCTATATTTATAGAAGATTATTTCAGTTGTGGTCTTTACTGGAAGGTGTTTAAGAATGCTCTTTAGTTACTGTGTACTTGTTTACCCATAGACTATATTATAAACTTCTTATTTTATTGTTAAAATATTTTTGTTAATGTTGTTTACGGCTTTTTAAAAAAATATGTTTTTATATACAAAACCCAATTTATTATTTTTTTAATTACAGCTCTCTTCATCTTATAGCCCTTTGCTAGGATGCAGTCTACTCAACATTTTAATACTGTTGAAACTGAACTCAGTGCAGCCATTCCCAAGGACTGCTGGTCCTTGTCCTGAGCCAAAATGGCCTGATCCTGATAGGGTCTGGCACCTTCTCTTATGTTGCTGGACATGCTGAACTCCTGTTCTGCAGTGCTCAGCACTTTGGCAGATCAGGGAGATTTTTCATCCAGCTATTTTATTGCCTATAACCTATTGTATATCCACTCTATTTGTTTCCTTCAAGCATCAGGAATGCTGCCAGTCTTTGTCTTTTCAATTTGAGATTTGGATGTACAGAAATGCTACAAAAATGGGGATGTTTTATATCAACACAAAAGCTTTGAAAATATTCCACTTCAGTGAAGTAGAATTGGTTCAGCCATCTCAGGAACAGATGCCTATGGGAAAAGTCACATACCCACTTCAATAAAAATTATAGCTCTTAGTGAAGTTTAATTTATTTTTGACAAAGATTTGGATGAAAGCTGTTTCATTTTTTAGATAGTGCCTGAGTTAAAATTATTAAAAACAAGAGAAGAGCTCGTTTCATTTCAATATGAATTTCCAATTCCATTACAATTTTTGAAATAAAAATTTCAGTTTAGAAAGAATAAGGTTTTGCCTGTGAAAGAATAAAAAAAAAGGAAGTAAAAAAAAAAACAAAACCAACTGTATTCTAAAATGCACCTAAGCTATTCTAAACTAGAATTTTTGATGCTATGCTTTGTAGGTTTGGAAATGGGAAAAATATCCTAGTCTTTGAAAAGTATGCCCTATTATTAGGAGCAAAAAGCATACTGTGTTGCTGTTGATTTGTATACTGGAAAATGCTGCTTCATAGTGTACTGGCTACTGAATAAATAAGGTATCAGTGTCTGAAAATTGTACACTGCCTCATGTGAGACATATCTTTTGGAGTCTGCAGAACTGGAACAGACCAACAGAGAAGGCAGAAGTAGAGATTTAGGGTCATATTCAGGTGGTCTAAATTCTGCCTATTTACTTCTGCTTTGTGGGGAGAACTGGGCTCTCATGACAACTAATTCAGAGGCCCTAAGAAAAATAAGAGAACAGATTAAAAAAATAGGAGATACAGGGAGGAGACTGAAATTTAGGCTTTGTGATTATGAATTCTAATCTGGAAGAATTCAAATGTTTTTAAATCCATGCATCTTAAAGCCATACACTTATTATTTTGAAATGTTCTGAATTATTTTACTAATAACAATCCTTTTGAAACCATAGAGCTTTAGGGTCAGACACAGGAGGATCTACCAGAAACCCTGCTGCTCACTGTGGTGTAGTAGGTTTAAAGCCAACATATGGACTGATCTCTCGCCATGGTCTCATTCCTCTAGTGAACTCCATGGATGTGCCAGGAATCCTAACCAGATGTGTGGATGACGCAGCCGTTGTGTTAGGTATTACTGCTTCATATGCCTTTGTATACAATGTATCTTTGTTTACAGCATTGTCTCAAAACAAATTGAATTCTGGTTGCCCAATATACATTTTTCTGTTCTTCATAACTCACGTTGTATTACAGGTTCGCTTGCTGGACATGATCCTAAAGACTCTACCACAATTCAGGACAACTTTAAGCCATTTGAACTACCCAATTTGACGGATGTCAGCAAGCTCTCAATAGGAATTCCAAAGGTAACATTTAAATCATGTCAACAATTGTGGACAGGAACAGCAAATAGGACACCTTACAGAAAATTACTTCTCTTGCACACCACCTTGCTGTGTCTCATGATTTGAAACAGTGAAGACTGTATGAGCAGCTCCTGGAAAAGAGCAGTATGTGCTCTGTTGCCTTTGCAGGTGATTTGGAGTGAGCAAATGCTAATGCTTCATCTAAAATATGTGTCATTGTTGTGGGAAGCACTGTCAGGAAGTTCCAAGGGAAATGGGAAACTTCCATTCTTGGTTCTGTCTGTCGCTCTTTCACCAGTCACCTGTATAACCTCAAACAGGTTGCTCTTGGTGCCCTCTCATACAGTGAGGTTAGTACTGGTTTGTCCAGTGCTTTGAGATACTTGTCTAAATGACACTGTGTTAATATGAAGCAGAATTTTAAAGACAGTTGAGAGGCACAAGGACCTGTAATTCACAGAGCTCTAACAGAGATTGAAAAACAACTGTAATCTGTCTTTGGATGTATGCAGTTCAATCATGTTTGTGACTATAAGGGTACTTGCAATTTCAGCACAACATTTGGGATTTCAGCCTGTGTTTAACTTGGTAAAGACCCTACTTTCAAGAGACAATGTGAATAACATTTATTTGTTTGATTCTCAGTATTTGAGCCTGTGTTAGAACAGGTGTACTAAAATATTTAGTTTGGTAAACAGAGATGTCCACTAACCATTTATTCAAGATCTGTGAAATGCAAAAAATTGTATGCCTAGAAAATTAATTATCTGCATACTGTTTAGATTTTGATAAAGCTAAAATAGTGGTATTGCTTAATTATTCATATCCTTTGGACAGTTGTTTTCTACTGCTACAGATTATCCTAAAGATATACATGCATGTATTAAACGAGAGTCATAGGTACTCAAAAATCAGACAGTGTTACGACCCTGATATTGTGGGTTAGAACTAAAGCAAGTGTATTCAAAAATAGAGAATTTCCATATAATATGTTTAACTTAAGCTACTTTACTGTTTAAGAGCTGTCTAGGTCTTCTCCCAACCCCTTGATTGTAGTTTTTCTTTGGTAGGTTGTTACATTTGTTTCACTGGGGCATGCCAGTTGCTGCTGATATGTTGTGGCCATAATTCTTTTGATCTTTCCTACTCATGGCAGCCCTAGTGTTGGGATTTAAACCTGAAGAGTTTCTACACATGAACTGCAGAGTGGTGCAGTATAGTCTTCATGAATAGACAAAACAAGTGGATAACTAGGCAATTTCTCTTTCAGAAGAAACTGATGAAGTTCCACAGTCTGCAAGGTGTGGATTGATCCTACTGAGATGAACATAATATTAAGAAGACTAAATCCTGTTAATTTAATACTGCTTCATTGTATAATACTTAGTAGATGAAAGAAGCTTTAATAAGTACTTTAAATCATATAGTGGTGAGGTAATAGTTTCAATGTATTTTCAACAAGAAGTATTTGCATTTTGGTTGCCATTAAAGTAAACTGGTATGTAAAATCAATGCTCCTTTTTTTTTCTCTAAGGAATATCATGCACCAGGACTTTCTAGTGAAATTCTATCTCTCTGGTCAAAGGCTGCTGACCTCTTTAAGAATGCAGGTGCTAAAGTAACTGAAGTGAGTCTGCCACACACTCGTTACTCAATTGTCTGCTATCATGTGCTGTGCACAGCAGAAGTGGCATCAAATATGGCCAGATTTGATGGACTGGAATATGGTAAGGCCGTAACTTTGTTCTCAGACAATAGAAACATTTCTGGATGGTATTTAAAGATATTAGTTTTAATAGACATGCTTTTAATGGTTGAATGTTTGGTGTTATTTCTCCAAGATGGAATAAAGACACTGGCCAAATAAAGATGAGTAAATAAATATATATTTTAATATATTTCACTTCTGTGGGTGTCTTTCACATGTGGGTGTCTGGGCTTAAAATCTGTTTAAAATTTCTGGAATAAAACAGGAATATGCTTTGTTGTTTTTCCAGAATAGTAGCATGCCAGAGTGCAGCAAACAGTTGCCTATTGTATTACTATATGTAACATTACCTTATGTTGTTAAATCTCAAGGATTACAAAAAATATTAATTTCCAAATTGCTTTTTCTTTTCAGGACACCGTTCTGACATGAACAAGTCCACAGAAAGTATGTATGCTGCAACACGAAGAGAAGGCTTTAATGATGTTGTAAGAGGAAGAATTCTATCAGGAAACTATTTCCTCTTGAAACAGTAAGCAGAAAATCTTGAAACTCAGATTTGCCAAAATAACAATTTTTTAAGCAAATGGTGATTAATTGTTCATCATGACATGAAAAAAATTCATCTGTACGCTAGTAGCTACTTGCATTATTATTATTATTGCTTTAACTATATAATACCTAGTGAACTGTTAATAAGGAATGAAAAAGTTTTCTCTTAGTCTTACCAGCAAGTCTCCTGAACTAAATAAGTAAAACAACTTAGCAATTTTTATTTTTTTTCCCCTGCTGGAGTATTAGTTGCACCCATTAGTTAAATTAAGCAAAAATTTGTCCTACAGTGTGACATTGAAATCATATTGAAGCCATTAGGGTCATAGTGTTAAAAGTTCTATAGCTGTTAATCTCATTAAAACTGCATGGAAAAACTGCTGGTACATTTTAGTGAGGTCTTATAGTGAAAGCCAGAAGATACAGCAATTAAATTAACTATAGCTCTTTGCCCAAGTATACATGGAAAGGGAGGCACTGGCAAAGGTAGTGAATTTACATCTTCAGAGAAGACAGGGTGTTATCCAGCTCATGTAGAGAAGCTGGTACATGGATCAATGTGACTTTTTTTTCTTAGTTTACAGTCCTTATCCAACAGTCCTAATTTGTGTTAGTAAAAGTGCTGGTTTTCTCCATCTTAATTGGTACAGATACTAACAGAAATATTAGTCATGTAATCATTCTCAAAGCAAGTGCACTACAGAAAGAGCTCTGTCAGCAAGAATATTCATCAGATGTGACTTCTAGTTGCTCTCAGAGATGGGAATGTTGTCAGTCAGTATGTAACAACCAGCTTTTATCGAATGCTGATATTCCTGATAAGTGTACTCCTTCTTGTTACAACTGTCCACATCAGCTTTCCTAAGGCTGCATTAAAATTCATGTAGATCATCCTTCTATGAAGCAATATACAATTCACTTGGATCAAGATTGAGCAGGAGAGTCCTGCTCCTGTCCACCGTAAATTACTTTTAAAGAACAGAACCCAAGTTTTGGAAAGTATTCTTAGCATAAATAGTAGAGAAAAAATATGTCTCTCCTGCAAGTGTTGCATTTTACAGATTATTTTTATCTTGCTTTTGAAATCTGTAAAATAACTAGGTGATTGTTCAGGAAGTTCTGTTTAATATCTTTATCAATTATCTGAACAAGGGGATCGAGTGCACCCTCACTAAGTTTGCAGATGACACCAACCTGGGTTGGAGTGGTGATCTGCTTGCGGCTAGAAAGGCTCTGCAGAGGGATCTGCATTGATGGGCCAAGACCAATTGTATGAGGTTCAATAAAGCCAAGTGCTGGGTCCTGCATTTGGGTCACAACAACCCCCTGCAATGCTACAGGCTTGGGGGAGAGTGGCTGGAAAGCTGTCTGGTGGAAAATGATCTGGGGGCGTTGGTCAACAGCCGGCTGAATACAGGACAACAGTATGCTTGGGTGGCCAAGAAGGCGAACAGCATGCCGGCTTGTACTGGAAATAGTGTGGCCAGCAGGACTAGGGAAATCATCCCCCTGTACTCGGCACTGGGGAGGCTGCTGAATACTGTGTTCAGTTTTGGGCCCCTCACTACAAGAAAGACATTGAGGTGCTGGAGTGTGTCCAACGAAGGGCAACAAAGCTGGTGAAGGGTCTAGAGCACAAGTTTTGTGAGGAGCGGCTGAGGGAGCTGGGGTTGTTAAGTCTGGAGAAAAGGAGGCTGAGAAGAGACCTTATCACTCTCTAAAACTACCTGAAAGGAGGTTGTAGCGAGGTGGGTGTTGGTCTCTTCTCACAAGTAACAAGCGGTAGGAGAAGAGGAAACAACCTCAAGTTGTGCCAGGGGAGGTTTAGATGGGATATTAGGAAAAATTTATTCACGAAAAGGGTTGTCAAGCGTTGGAACAGGCTGCCCAGGGAAGTGGTGGAGTCATTGGAGGTATTTAAAAGATGTGTAGATGTGGCACTTGGGGACTTTTTGAAGTTGACAGCTAGGATGATTTCAGAAATGATTGTAGAAAAAGGGCTAATTCCCATGATGAAATTTCTTAACTTGAATCTGCTGCCTGTTATTGATTATAACAATTTTCATTGCAGTTTTTCAGAAAGTTAAATCTTTAGAGTACTATAACAAAGTGGATTTTGGGCAGTTTCAATTGTTTTATCTACAAACACTCTAGCTTGTAGCAGTTGTTCATACCCCCCTCCCTTTTTTTTTCATAGCTGTGGTTTTAGGTCGCACTTACTTTTGAAACTGAACTTCTCTGAATTTAAGGATTCCACATTTACCAGTTCTGCATAGGAAGTTAAAAGGAACAATAGACATAAAGCTGACTAATTTGTTTCTGCTTCAGAATTGGGTAAATACAGTTTAGAAATGCATAGACCACATGTTTGCGTGAGAAAAAAAGGCTAGGGAAAAAAAATATCATAGAATCATAGTAGTATTCTACAGAGAAGTATACTACAAACACATACAGAGGTTTAAGTCCATTTGGAGTCCTCCGTTGATGATGGGACTTGTTCACATGCATCTTGCTGGATTGAGTCCTACATGATTAATGCCTGTTGTCCAAGCCTGCTTGGTTCAGTATAAACAATACTGATAAAATGTTTCTAGGCTTTGTTGTTCTGCCCTGCAGTGAAGTTCAGCACACAGTTTAGTCTCAGAATGGACATAAAAGTATTGGTTTTGTTTTGGTTTTTTTTTAGTTAATTATTGTAAACTAGGGTTTTGTTTTCCCTTCACCTTTCTTCAGCAGTATGCCCTCATCTCTTCCTTCTCTGACAGCTTCATTGCTATGAGAACATAAACACCGTGTTTGATGACTATGCTTCTGGTATATCAAAAACTCAAGTACTAGTGTTAGTCTTGTAACCAAAAGGAATTCTGGGCTTGTCTTTTCTACAGTAACTAAGAAATTAAGTTCTGTATTTTTGGAATTAAAGTGTCAGGCCCTCACGTCCATATTTCTTTCTAGGAACTATGAGAATTACTTTATCAAGGCACAGAAAGTCAGACGTCTCATTGCCAATGACTTTGTGAAGGTTTTTGGGAGTGGTGTTGATATTTTACTCACTCCTACCACTCTGAGTGATGCAGTACCGTATATGGAATTCATCAAAGAAGACAACAGAACCCGCAGCACACAAGACGACATCTTAACACAGGCTGCAAACATGGCTGGTGAGTAGGGACAGGAATTCAGCTGTTCTCCTCTGCCTAGTAATTTTTAATGCCCATGCATTTCAGCTCTTTAGCATCTTCTTTAGAATCAAGATAACCAGGTATAAGGATAGTTTGTTTATTAAAAGCTTTGAAATGTAAGACTAGATTTTTAAAGTGGGTCACCTTGGAGCTGAGTGCAGGCTGCAGATTAAGATGAATCCATTCAAGTTCCAGAGACTGAAATCTCCTTCTAAGGTGAGTTGATTATATTTCAGAGGATGCTGACTCCTTAAATAATTCTAATTCATTCTTCTGATCACCTAACAGTATCCTTAGTTCATTGACTCAAATTATGTTAACTAGTCTTTATCCTCTGCATAATTTTTTTTTCTGGTTCTCTTAGAATTATTACAAAAATTACTCCAACTGGATTTGTTTAATAGTAAGTCTTTGCATATGTATCTTTTTTTCTTTCAGGGCTGCCAGCCATAAATGTTCCTGCAGCTCTTTCAGAGAGAGGCTTGCCAGTTGGGCTTCAGTTCATTGGGCGATCATTCCAGGAGAAGCAGCTTCTCACTGTAGCCAAATGGTTTGAAAAACAAGTAAAATTCCCAATGATCCAGCTGGAAGAAGTGAAGAGGCATGACCATGATGTCTTTCAGCATCAGAAATCTGCTTCTTTTTCGTAACATGGGACTTGCTAGTCAGCTAAAGTAAGAAAGCAGTGGGGATGGTGTAAAAATGTATTCCTGCAGTTAGTTCTCTTTTGCAGAAATAATAATCCAGTATAAGAAGACCATATGCACTAATGCTGGATGGAATCATGACAGCTTGTGACTACGTAATTAAGGCAAAGTGAATCATTGAGTAAAGATGTCTGTGTTATTAAGAACCATTTCTAACTGGTATTAAAAACACCAAGTTGAAATTATGTATCTTATGCCTGTGGAGCTGCTTTTTTCCATCCCCAGAGGGTGTGTAAAGGTATCTGGCCCATCAAAGAACTAACCTGAACTTTCGTGTGAAAATTGCATGGTTGGTAGAGGGCTTGGTTTCCTTCTGGAGCGTAGACTTTCGTAACAGCCACAACCAGACAAGCTGTAATGGAACAAAGGTATCAAGGATCTGTACACCAACAGGTCAACAGGTAAATACAAAAGGAATCAGGGGAATAACATATAGATAGTTCGTTTAAAAAAAAAAAACAAACAAAAAAAAAACCAAAAAACCAAACAAATCCTACTTCTAGCAAACTCATGCAGGAGGTGAAGTAACCTCCAGGTTTACAAATCATGCAGATTACTCTGGTTACATCCATTGTAAGACCAATTAATTCCACATTTCTTCTGGAAAAAGATGCCTAGTAGTCCTTGAGTAGTTATTTTATTCTTCCTTTGTCACTGTTCTTTGTAATCAGCACTTAATTTCTTTCTCACTAAGTATTCATTTTATCTTCTTCACTTAGTAGCTGAGACCCATCTTTGAATTAAGGTTGTAAAGACCTGAAAACAAAACTCCTGGGTAGATACTTAAATTTCTGGTCTATTGGATTCAAGGCAGCCCCAGCAAGGCTTCTGCCCTGCTCCCATTCCCAGCTGTTCCGCATTTTTGGGGGCCATATACCTGATGTTCTTTCTGCCCTCCCCTGTCTAATGCTGGAATTTTGCCAGGCCAGAGGTGAGAGCTTGGGAACTAGCATGGTCAAGCAGCTTCAGGATGTAAGCAAGAGTTACTGAAGTTTTGCAAGAAGATACCTAAGAGACTTTTGCTGTCTTCCTATTAGAAAATCATTTTGAAGTGGTTGACTCTGGGGCCCTCAGCAGTTCCTGAAGTAGCTTAACACCTCACCTTACCTGTAGATATAGCAGTTGTGAGAGGTATTTCTGAGCAGAGCTTTGTGCAGCTGCTCCCTCTGCCAAATCATGGCTCCAGAGTTACAAACAGTAAAGTTTCTATGGTGGATAATTAGACTCTCAAACCCCCTTGTTACAGAAGTAAAGGAGTTCCAGGGAGCCGGAAGGTCTGGGGATTAAAAAAAAAAAAAAAAAAAAAAAAGGAAGAACAACATTTTGTACAGCTGCCTTGAAAAACAATTTGCTGAAATGATAGTGTTGAAAGTTTTATGGCTTTGCAGCAGAGCTACACCAGGGGGTAGGTGTAACCTTAGCACACAATGAGCTAACATAATTACAGTGTTTCCTGAAGGAGACAAAAGCTAGAGCTTTAGCAGTCGAGCAACCTGCTTAAATGTTTAGGGGTGCAAATTTTTTTCTTCAGGTAAGGAGAAACTGTAAGAACCTTGTATAGTTGAAAAGGTCTTTTTGAGAAGAAAATTAGAGCTTTTGCTGTAAGATGTTTTTAAATACAACTGCAATTCGATGTTGCAGTTTATGCAGTTTCGGTATATCTTTTCTCTCACAAAATTTAACCTGACAGCTGCTACTTCTTTATTCCTGCATTTCTCAGTTTTCAGTCATTGGGCACTCAATAGTTAATGTGACTTCGTTGTACCTTCCCCTTATTTAGTGCTAGTCACTTCTCCATTGGTTTTATGATTCACCTAGGAACTGATCTATATGGAAAGCTGCAATGGGGAATGGGCTTTGTAGCCTACCTTGTGTGTCCCCTGGCACCCCCCGTTCAACTGTGCACCCCAGAGTACTGAGAGCGACACGGCTGGACTCACATAGGAGAGATGGGCAACTGAAAAATTATGAAAAGGTGCACACAGCGCATTTAAAAATCACTGCTAGGGTTATAAGACAGTCATACTTCATGTTAAACTGGTGCCCACAATGCCACCAGAGAGGACAGGGAAATAAGCAAAAAAAGTCAGAGGAGCAAAAAAGGTTATCTATGTTTGTTGTTTTTCAGTATGTCTCTCAACTAAAGAGGAAAGTATCCAATTACAGGAGTGTTAGAGGTGGGAAATGAAAAACACTCACAGTCATCTTCATTAGCTTACCACACCTTTGCTTGACTAATGTCCAGATGCAATTCCCCCCCCCACAGTATGGGCATCCTCTGGTGCTTGCTGTTGAACAGTGGTGAAAGGTGTCCAGCTCAGCAGTGCAGGGCATTCAGAGAAAGCAGCAGGAACACAGCCAGGGTTTTTTGCCTGGTCCTGCGCTCAGTTTTATAGCCTGGGCTGTGGTCTGATACCTGTATGCTAAGGGTGTAAGTGCTGTCGAGAGGTTTTTGCCTGGTCCTGCGCTCCGTTTTATAGCCTGGGCTGTGGTCCGATACCCGTATGCTAAGGGTGTAAGTGCTGTCGAGAGTTGTGAGCGCATGCCGCAGCACAATATGAGATGAAATGGACTTCAAAGCACTGGGAACTGAAATTTGTTAGTCTAGAGGGACTGTTCTTGCACATCACTGTGCTGGCTGGTGAACAGGTTTGTGTGGCCTGCCTTGCTGAACTGCTCGTGGTGCACGATGGACGGGCTGCTGTCATGTGTGCCAGCTCAGACACCCAGGCTGGCAATGGGGACTCCTGGGTTAGATGCCCCTCTTGAGGGGAGGGTGCATGGTGGTGGAAGAGAAAAAGGGCTTGGAGCTACAGGACAGAGGAAAGACTGGCTAAAAGGCTGCCACAGGAGGGTGTAAAAGATGCAGCAATAAGGGAGCAGGAGCAGAGGTGGGGAGTAGCAGCTGGCAGCAGCCAGGCACCTGCCAGCACTGTACTGGGACCTGGGAGAGCTGCTGGGTTGCAACTGCAGTTTGCCAGCACTCATCCTAATGAGGAGACAAGCTCCTGCACTGCAGTGTACAGAGTAAAAGCACTAGGAACTTCATTGTGCCACCCAAGAGGGGGTGTTTCAGCTTGGGAAGAGACACAGAGAAGCACAGAAAGGTTGTCCAGGCAAGCTGTGAAACAACAGGAGGTAGAAAACACGTGGAAGAGGGGAAGGATTAAGTGTCATAGGAACTGGTAACTAATTCAAAAAGCCAGAGACTTCAGAGGAAGACTGAAGAGAGAAAGGGACATGGCGATGAGGAAGCAGAAGTACTCTGGTGAAGAAGGGACCCCAATTTCATGTTCCTAAGTTGAAATCTTTGAAGGTGGGTACCTTTGTGAATTGTACCTCTCTGAACTAGAGAGTCTGCTTGATTTAGTGCAAGACCAGAGTGTTTAAGACTTGCATTTGCAAGCTTTTATTCCAAAAGTGAGTGCTATTCAGGCACACACAATGCCTGGCACAGGTGCACATAATACACGCTTAGCAAAAATCAAAATGAAAACTTATGTTATTAACAATATACTTCAGGAAGCCTAGGAACACACTGCAAAAGGGACCTGGTAGGCTCCATTTCTCTTTATAGGTAACTATTTTGTACGGTCATAGAATCATAGAATGGTTTGGGCTGCAAAGGACCTCAAAGATCATCAAGTTCCAACCCCCCTGCCATGGACAGGGACACCTCCCACTAGCCCAGGTTGCTCAAAGCCTCATCCAGCCT